GCCTTGACAATTTGGTGAATAAAGGAAGATATATAGAATAATAATTCCTTATATATGCTAGTTCTTAGATCAAAGTAATTGTAATTATCGAAGGTGAAGAAATTTTAGATGAGGGGTTTGAATAATTTAAATGAGCAAAAGAGAAGACCCTAAGGTATCTATATACCATCGCTAGCCAGGTTGAGCCAAGGCGTTATCTTATGTACGAGGAGCATGTTTACAACTTAGAAAGAGCAGCATGATCTGAACTAATGTCTCAAGCTTAGAGTACTCTCTGCCTTGGATCACAAACTCCTCCAGCCTGCTTCCTTTTTAATTAATGCATGCCATCATGAGTTTGAAATGAATGTTAGCTAAGATTTTTCAAGGTGAAAACATGTCTTGTCGAGTTGTTGTTAGTTACTTAGTCCCAAGAAGATCACTTTAAGAAACTAAAATAAACATTAGAAATGAAAAATGTGTTATAGTATTCTTATGTTTTGTGATCAAAGAGTGCTGTTATAGTACATTTTTCTTTGCAAATTTCCTTAATGGCACAAACTTGAGGCTGGCCTTTGCCTTTCTGGCCCCAATTGTGGTCCGAAATTGTGTCTCACTTAACATCAAAAAAGAAACATTGAAATCAAGCACGTTCTTCTCAAAGGGTTCCCTGTTAGATCAAGAAGACAACCTGAAGTTGAGCCACCTTAGCCATACGGAGTGAAGCACCATGTGAATTACATCGAATGGCTTAGCCGGCCGGTTCAACTCAAAATGCCGGCGTACTCTCTTCACCCTCTCATGCATCTTCAAGTACTTACTATTTGGTATCCCTTGCAGAATGGTCTTAATATCTGGTATTTTCTCCACTGCGATTCGTACTGAGAATTGGCTCCACTTGAGGACGTCACTAAAGGGTAATATATAATTGTCTGAGGTTATGACTGGGATGCACCCTGCATAGATTGCTTCGATCTCTCTTGGTCTGGCCACTTCAAACCTACTTGGGCACAAGCAAAACTTGCTCTGCCCCATCATTTTGGTGTAATTCACACCCTTGGGAAGGCGAGTATGTACTTGGACTTCCTTGTCTTTGTCTTTCCATTGCTCGACTAAGATTTTCCTGATGTATCCATGAGCTGAACCCGCAAAGAAAGCCAAGATAGGCCGGTTAATAGGACCCTGGCTCAGATTGGGTGGACCTAGTTTTCCGTAAGGAAGATAAATTTCAGGCAACGAGACGTCTATTTTGGGCCTGAACCCCTCAGAAGAATTAGCATTGCAAGGGACCCTGAAGAAGTTCTTGAAGAGTCCAGGATTGGCTTGTGAAACTTCCGGTGCCTGAAATATCCAACAGAGAAAAGTAGCACTAAATATTCTTCATAATAAGTTCATCAATTTACAGCAATAGACTAAAAAATAATCTAAGTTTGGAAAGCGCATGGTGACTGGAATATTCTAGTGCTTGTCATCATTCCTTTCGAGGAGTTGTGTGCTGTATTCACAATTGTTTGTGTAAAATCAACCCTTTGTTCTTCGACCCCATCGTTTGGAGGAGAGGAGATGGGGTATTTAAAATGCCACTTGCAGTATAAATAAAGTTTGCACACTGTTAGATTCTTGCTTTTGAATGCACGTTATACTGTGAAAAAAAATGCGCCATTTAATTAGAACCTTGCTTCATGGGAAGATTGTTGAATGGTTGTCAGTTTCATTTCAGTCTGCCATGTGAGACCTGAAGTGAGGAAGACAAATATGGAAACTCCATATTTTTTTTCACGCCAAAGTCCTTGGTTGATCACATGTTATAACTTATAATTTAAGTGACTAAACAAACAAAAAATTTACTATTTGCTCTTAATGTCCCTTGCCTTTCCAAGTATCCCAATCACTAGCCTTATTTCTGTCATGCACCTAAACGTGATCAGGCACAGCATGACTTTAGACGCTTCTGATGAATCAGGAAATCCGTAAAGTTTCAATAAAAAATTAAGCAAACTCATCCCTGGATAAAAACATCAGCTGAAAACAACCAGAAACAGAGAGAAAATAAAGGGAAAAAAAAGTTGAAACATGCCCAGTCGTGACATGAAACCATAAAATGATCCGCACCATTGCTTCTGTTCCAGTATGGATATTTACTTGCCACGGTGTTGATGTAGTCCAGCACTAATTGTTGCAATCGATCACGAGAATACTCTTTAACTGAGGTGATAGGCTTGTAAACATAGTGAATCACTCCTGTTACACTAAAGGGCAAGAAAAATACATGCGCTTCGTCAGGATGGCGAGCCCTGAAAGGGTTGTTCTTGCTCTCCATTTCATCAATGAGCTGCCCCCCCTCTATGGCATATATATCGTTCAATGGCCCGTTGTGCACTAGAGGTAGCTCTCCTTCCCTGTATGTCTACACTTTGAACCTTTTTATCATCTCTGTATGGCTCCTGATTATATACAAAAAACAGAAAGAACATGTTAATCGATCGGAAATCAGTGCTAGTCCTCTCAAATATAATCTATAGTGCCAGGTTCACATAAAAGTACTTAACTGATAAAAAGCATTTGCATTTCTATATATGGACCCTCTTGGAACTAAAACGTCTTCCTTCTCTGGTGTAAAGTTTTGCAATTGAACTGCCTTGAGAATGGCTGCTCGTGATCTAGCTAAATCTTCTTCAATCCTCTCAGAGTTGCTCTTTTTCTGCCAATAGGGAAACATTTACAAAGTAGATGGATTAAAACAGGGCCAAAAACAGTCATCATTCAGTGAGGCTTTAAAACAAAACTTGCAAAAATCTATATAATACTCACTTTGATGATAGCAGCCTTATGTTTACTGCTTTTATACCTGGAAGTTGATAAAAACCCATCAAGGGAAACGTGTGGTGTTGTTGTATGGTTGGTCTCTCCTAGACTGAAAGGTGAGAAAGAAGTCACAAATTGAGTGAAATGGTTGCTATTAAAGGGAGAGAAACAAAGGAGGACCAGAAGAAGAAGCAACAAAGCTGGAAGAAGCAAGGAAGATGAATGGCAGCTTGAGGTTCCCATGACTTCATGAAAACTCTCTGTATCTCGCTTTTCCTATGGCGTTTCTTTCATTGGATGGAAAGGTAGGAAGATATTGTCGGCTATATGTGAAAGTTGCAGAACTAAGTGGAGCCAACCTTTTAGTTTGCATACATATAACTATATATATATATATATATATATATCATGTGAAAGTAAAAAGGCCTTTGACTGCAACCTCTGAATGTTAAAATGATGGGCAAGAAAAGAAGATTATTGCTAGCTATTCTTTGTAGATATTCACTTGTTTAATCAGCTCAATAATAAGATATAATGACTAATCACATGGCAATTGAGGAAGGCTTATGATGTTTAATTATGTCAGCAATGATCTTAATTTGATTATTTCATATCTAAAATAACAAAACCTCCCTTTTTTTACAGAAATTAGTATAGGTTTCAGTACTGTTTAACTATTTTTCTGTTCTACCCTGAACTGTATAACTTTTTTTCTTTAACATTTTCCATATTTGGTAACTAAGAAAATAATGCATTGACTACTAATTGTATGGATGTTGCTTCTTAGAGATTTTTGTCATTGACATCCTCCAAATTAAATACCAGTCGTCATCAGTTAAAGGTGATGGTTGTTGATACTTAATCTTTGATTATGACCACTGGTCGCAGCTGCAACAATTTTTTTTGCTACTGATGACTGGTAATTGTCCTTGGCGGAGACAGCTATAGATGGCCACTGGTAAAAGAAAAGTGATAATCAATAGCTATTTAATATATCATATATATTGACAGATTATAGCTTAGACTTTTCTAAGCTCGGAAATGATTCTTGTACTCCATGTCGGTCCTTTTCTAAGCTTGAACTCAATCAGATCGGAGCTATTCAACATTTACAAGTCCATTTTCCCATTCAAATTTTAGTTCTGGATTGATTACAGAGTACTTGCTTTTGCAGAACGATGTTGCTCTCCTGTTGAATATACAACTATTATTTTCAGCTCCATTAGGCTTTTCATGTGTGGAGGCTTTGGAAAGTCACGTAGTTTTATGGTGATGCTTGTAGTGTAGAGATTCTGGAGAATAGTCTGAGCTCTAAAGCCGGGTGCTTACAGATTTACTCAACCACAAAATCTCGCTAGCTAAGACGGTGTTCATATGACTACACATCAACTTCAGCATTTGTAGTAAGTCTCGGATCACAAAATTCTGGAGCCCTGTGCCCTTTAATTGAACTAAAAGTCCAACCAGCTAGGCGATGGATCCAGTAATTGTTTACAGATATTTATGCAATCTCTCATACATACGTTGAAAGCAGTTTCAAATATTAATTCAAAGGTAGGAATCAATCTTCTCTAATCACCGATCTGGAAGGTCCAAGTTTCAGGTGATAAGTAGACATTAGAGTTTAGACCATTTTTTATAATAGTCCTCCCAGTAATGGCTTAATAGCCAGCTTGGAGAATTGTAAGCCGTTCCCCTTTTCCTTTAATCTCTCTTTCTTGCTTAGTCTTTAGACCCTTCTTTTCTAACTCAGTTAATGGCTTAACGCTGCTCTGTTTAAAGAGTTAATGCACTTTGATAAGCTTTAACTGATCCATAATGCCCTTTGTTTTAATTTTAAAGCTCCAATTCATGTCATTTTTCTGGAGTCTAGATCAGAGATTTGACAGAATTGATAACCATTTGCTGGTTAATTCTCTGGACTTTCCAAACCTTGAGGCTTGAGCATTCGGGCTTATGATATTCCACGTTAAAAGCCACCTGATTGGGGGAAACTGGTAGCTACTGACTGAGGATACTCTCCTGAAGCATGCAGTTGCTAGAATTTTTCAAACATGGATCAGATACTTTAAGTTCAATAAAAGGAAGTACAACATTGTTCATAGAAGAACACTCTCGCTTAATAAGTTGAGGATACAGTAAAAAAATGATTAATTAATAGGCTACATACATTTGAATGAAGAAGCTGTTCTTAACTCTCTTCAATCCCCAACAAGTGAAACAAGAAAGGAAAAAAAAAATACATAATTTTCAAGTATGATTCTTTGTATATTGCTGCTCTACTGATAGCCTTCCCTTCATGAAGATGCTACCAATCATTGATGTACATTTAGAGAAAAATACCTGAACGTCATACATATAAATCCCAAGACCCCCAACCTCACAAAAGAGAAAAAGAAAACTATAATAAATGAATATTACTCACAGTTACATGACTAAATTAAACAAACATAAACCCACCTTTTGATGATTAACAGCCATTACGGTCACGCCACTCCAAAAATACAAGAGAAGCACCATAATGAGCCAATGCACCCATCACGACGAATATGTGAAATATTTGATGACTATGCCCAGCTAAGTCAAACCATCCAGGCTTCAACCTCTCTGGAATCCGACTAACATAGAACATGGTCCCGGTCAAATAGAATATGGCCATGGCGGCCTCATAGGCCAGAGTGATATTGCGACGCGGATTAGACCAGTTGACAATTGCAGCATGGATTCCTGGGACAATGCCAAAGAGCCCCATGGAGGAAAAGAGTAAAGCTCGAAATGCACGAAATTTGCCCGTTGACAGTGATGGTGATAGCAGTGTTACGATGGTGAACAAGCCTAGAGCTGTGATCCCACCAAGGTAGACAAAGTGCCACTGCGGATCACATTGAAAAATGTAGTAGATTGGAGGAAAAAAAGATGTGATGATCATGGTAGTAATCCCGGCATAGTCTATGCGCAACAATGTAAGGTTTAGATGGTGTGAATGGCAAGAAAAGAGGTGGCAGATGCTGCTTGATAGGAGGCAGAACATGGAGCCGCCTAAGAATATATAGAATGGCCATCGTGTAACCGGCGTCACCGGAGGGGAAATATCCAATTCTGGGGTTGTTATCCGCTTCAAATCAATGAGATTTGTTGCTCCCTGCAATTCTCAAACTATCAGCTTTATGGCATTACCAAAATTAAAGAAAAAAAACTGGGGTGAAAAGTAGGCATAACATTGTTATAATCATATGAATAAATGCCACAGGGTCATACTCACCAGAACGAGTTCTTTTGAATCATGAGATACATTGGCGTCGGCACTAATAGGAAAAGACCTGCACCAATTATGAAAGATAACTTCTTGACTTAGGACAAGGAAAATCTATGCTCAGCGATTTATTATCTGTCATCAATAAGGCGCTTAACTAGCAGGCTGGCATATATATATTGGAAAATACTCTGTAAATTAGTGCACAGTGACCACAAATATAATGTGAAAATAGACCATCAAATTCCAGCCACAATTATATTGGTGAGCCTTTCTTAGATATCAGAGTTGACAGCCTATTTTGACTCTTATGAGTAATGAGCCTGCTAGTATGAAGCATTCATTACGTTTGGTTGAATCATCAAAGTCGAATACCTGCCTGAGCCCAAAGGCCCATCAGTCAAAGCTTTTATTGTGAGAACACCCATTTTATCTTCTTTTTTTTCCCTGAATCATTTACAATAAATATAAATAAATAAACTCTCTTGCTTTGTTTTGTCACTTCCTATTTCCTAGTGAGGAATGGCATGGCAACTAGTTGAAAATAAAGTTGCCCCACTTTGCCATGAGTAACAGTCCTCCTCCAGCTGGTCAGTTTGTAAGTTCCCTTCCCTTCCCTTCCCTTCCCTTTCCCCTTTATTGCACCAGTTCACTTTCCAGTCGTCTGGACTCAGATTAATCCAAAATTTTAACTAACAGTCCTCTCTTTGACTCTGACACATGCCGGTTTACTTGCAAGTTGTAAGCCATTGGTAAAATGTCATTGGATCCCACCTCATATACATACATACATACATACATATATCATGAAATAATTGATGGAGGTTATTTTAGTATTTGCAAGACAGCTGAACAATACTCATAGAGCATGATCATGTCAATTGTGTTACTGTTATAATAAAGTGAAAAGCTAAAAGAAAAACAAAAGATTTTGCAATTTTTTCTTAAGAACTACAAAAAATTAAGAAAACATAGGAATAGACTACCATTTCTACCGAACTATAGGAATGAAATTGCAGAGATTTAAGAGAAAAAAAATTGGTTGTTTTCTTCGACAAGTATTACTGAAGAAAAAGTTAAAATTCATTAAAATTAAGGACTGAAACCTCAAACGAACCTAACTAAGAAGGTAATGAGATCCGCTACTTGTGGCACTTCCACCAAATTCGCCATGGTCAATCCCAAAAATAGAACAAACCCAAGTAAATGCCTAGAGAGTCCAACAGAAAACCAGAATAAAATTAGAAAAAAAGAAAGACTGAAATAATCATGAGAAGAAACAAATGAAGAAACTCCACAGAAAACAAAAGTGAAGACCATCAGACAAATCATGAAACTTTGTTTTCTTTTGCAACTTACGTCCAAACATTAAGGGTTTCGTTATGCCAACGAAAGATGCCAAAGAGAGCTTCCTTGATAGACCAATTAGCCCTGTAATAATTCAGGATAAACTCATTGTCCTTCATGTAGTCCGGCAGCTCCTTGTACGACACCAAAGCATACCGCCTTCTAGCCTTGTTCAAGCTCTGATCATCATCATCACCTTTCTTCCTGTTTTCCACTTGAACTGGTTGAGAAAGGAGCTTGGAATCGAGGGTCTGATCCATCTTTCTGTTTTTTCTCTTCAAAACAACAACGGCTTGGTCTTCGATGAAAGTCATGACCTGGAACCCTGGGAGATATATAAACAGAGTTGGGGTCCTGCAGGAAATGGAAAAGCAAGCTAGGTAGAGTTTTCCTTCCTTTTTCTTTTCCTTTTGGAAGGTTATTTAAGTGTTGTTTGGAGGATGGCAGATAGCTAACTACACCAACTGCAACATTTAAAGGGGAGGGAAGACCCTGTCTATAGCTTAGCTATAAGTTAATCCGTTGCTGTTACTAGTATGGGGCTGTGCTTTGCATGCAACCAAAGCGTGTGGAAGGGGAAGAGTTGTTGGTAGGTAATCAATAAATATTGTAAGCTTCGGTGGGATAATGGGATGGGATACTCAAAAACCGCCCAAATAAATCGATTTGAGTTTTCTACTTTGAACAAGCAAAACTTTGTCATTTGATTGTGTTCCCTTTCAACAATTAAATTAAGTAGTGAAATTTTCAACATGTGGATAGATAGATAGACAAAGTATATATGGTATCTCATCTCCAATTGAAAAGGAATATTTTTTTGTTTTTTAGGATTATTCTTCTAGGCGTGGTCAACATTATCATGTTGAGACTTTTTATAATTACAATTAATCACGTATACGAAAATTTTGATATTAAAATATACATTTCATTAATTATAAATTTATATTTTATTTTAAAAAAATTAAACTTAATTTACACTCATTCTTGAATCAAATACTTATACGTTAATAAGTTCATACAATTACTAGTATTTTTTTAATACAACTTTTGACATTACACTATGATATTCATATTATATTAAAGATACAACAATTAAGATATGATTGTATTCCCTAATTAACGAATATTTTGTTCATGTATAAGCACCTCATCATCAGGAACAATATCTTCTTTGGGTAAATTAAGCAATATGGTCAACTACTATCAAGAAAGTCTCTTTAGAAACTTAATCTTTCAGGAAATTAGTTGGGATTGAGTAAATTCTATGTATATTCTTAAATAGCAAAAAGAATTAGAATAATCCCTGTTGAGAAGTCCAGCTATATTTAGGATCAATTTCTTGCCTAGACTCAAAGGAAAAAGCCTGGGCATTTTCCAAAAAGATTTCCAACCTTATGGGGTATACAAGCAGGTCATACTGATCTCTTCCTATCCTTTTTTTTTTAGTACATGCAAACGTGTTTATTCAATTGTAAATCTAAAGATTAGTTAGATAATTAGGCAACCTTCTTTGTCACAGCAGGACAGGTGGCCTACCACAAGACCATTGATTTCTTTTTGTTGTTCTTAATTTCTCGTTTGCCCTTAAGACACTTCAACTTAACTGCCAAAAAACACAGATTGCTTGTCTGTAAAATAACTTGTTCAGCTAAGTACACCCGTGGCTTATTAATTACTAATGACTGGTTCATAATCATAGGACCAAAATTTTCTTTCTTTTATATGTATTCATGGGTCTTACTTCTTACCAAAAGATAATTAATTTTCTTTTATTAATTACTAATTACTGGTTCATAATCATAGGACCAAAATTTTCTTTCTTTTATATGTACTTATGGGTCTTAATTCTCACCAAAAGATAATTAATTTTCTCAAGTCGATCTCAACTACACAACTTAATATTTAAATTTCTCTATCTGGCTTAATATTAATCAAACACAAATTCTAATATTTATTTTTATGTTATAAAAATTCTTTAAAATGTAAAAAAAAAAACCTAAACTAAATAACATAAGAAAACCTAATAAAAGGAATAATTAATTGAATGACCCTAATTAATTAAACTGAAAGCACAATTAAGGTTCAACTTCCAGAGTTTTACATTTTGTGTCATTTTTTTGGTGTCAAATTGAATTCAAGTGAAATTTTAACTTGAAGTATTAAATCAGGTATGGGCCATGAATTTCTTGAATATTTAATGAATTGTTTTTCTACGGCCTTTCATGAATAAATTTCATAATTCCAAATATCAATATATATTCTTTTGACTTATCAACAAGAGAAAGTGTTGAACAACATGTGATAAATTAGTCAAACACAATGAAAAGCAAAAAGATTATGTAATCGATCTAAATTGGAATTAAAGCTCCAATTGAATTGTTTGTTAAATTGCTCTTTTAGCTTGTATGATACTGAATGTTATTAATGATTTGTAATAAATTTTTCAGCAACCAGCATGCAAAGGACAACAACAAATCATTGAATTTCAGTACCATAACTTAGATAATACGTACTCTTCATTTATTGAATAGTCCAAATTTATGAAATAATTTCATATTTGAAGTAACTAATTAACTCCTAAATTTTCTAATTTAGCCTGAAAGGATATTCTACCTAGACAGGAAGATGATATACTAACATTTTTCCAATAAGAACTGAATTACAAGAATTAAAATCTATTTAATGATGATAGATCAACCGTTTAATCATTTTTGCAAATGGTACTTGCTAAAAATAAGAGAAAAAAAAAAGAGAATAAACATAATTTTTCATTACTAATATATGAACAGAAGGAATATAATTATAGAACAAACATATGAAATTATAATTATAAAAAATTAACCAAATATAAAGGAATGTCAAATCGATCAAACATATGATTGGTTTGGTTGGTCCGATTTTAGACCAATAGACCAAAATTTTATCACTTTCTTTTTGTAAATTATAATTTTAAAAACTTATAAACTTCATCCATAATTATATATATATATTAAATTAATGATATAACTTATATATTTTAATATTTTATATCAAAATTTGTATAAATAATAAATAATTATAAACAATATGTTATAAAATTGAAGGTGATAGCTAATAAACTTATTAAGTGTAATCATATAAATAAAGTTTATTATAAGTTATAGTAATGCTTATGTATAAATTAAATATATGTATATATAATATATTACTTTATTATATATATAATTAATTATACAAATTATATGTTAAAATGTTTTATATAAAAGTTTGTATAAAAAATAACTAATTATAAACAATATATTATAAAATCTAAGATGATAACTAATAAAGTTATTAATTGTAATCATATAAATAAAGTCTATTATAAGTTATAATAATGCTTATGTATAAATTAAATATATCTATATAATATGTGACTTTATTATATATATATATATATATGAAATTAATGACATAACTTATATGTTATAATGTTTTATGTCAAAGTTTGTATAAATAATAAATAATTATAAATAATATATTATAAAATCTAAAGTGATAACTAATAAAGTTATTAAATGTAATAATATAAATAAAGTTTATTATAAATTATAGTTATACTTATGTATAAATTAAATATATGTATATATAATATATTTATATAATAATATATATATATATATATTCACAACATTTTATATTACGAAACATTATTAAAGTGTAATAATTATTCTTGACAAATTATAGTAATGTATTTCTTGGATACATTATTGGAATAATAAATGTGAGAGACATTAAAAATGGTAGATATACAGAAACATGCATGTGTGGTTGACAAAAACTTCAAAACACATTTTATCTCTTTTTAATGTAAAATCTTAGATATTGATTTTTTTATTTATAGTTCATTTGAAGCTATCTCATTATATTTGTGAAAAATTAGGTAACTTTGATACAATTTTGTTACGAACTCACACTTCTAATCTCAAAAAACATATGAAGATCTGTTTTATATCTTTTCAATGTGAGATCCATGACATTTTCACAAAAAACCGACCATCTACAAAATCATGTGAGAGAAAAAAAATGGTGTTATAAACAGGATTGAAAAATTTTGGAAATTAAAGATAAAAAATTCTCCCAACTAAAATTATGTACAACACCCGTCAATTAAATTGTAATGGGGGTTGCAATTACTAAAGTACGTCAAGCTAGGCGACACTAGCCCACATTGTGAGTTAAATGTCCGAACATTTGATTTTAGAAATATCCTAACCAAATTCAAAGGAATTTGGATACATTTCATTCGAGATATTGAAGATAACTTGAAATTTGTCGCTTATACCTTTTAATATATCCTTCGAATATTCTTCTTTTTTGAATTTGTCTCACATTTATGTTATGATTTTTTTTTAAACATTTATAGCTATCAATTTTATTTTTTACATTTACATATAGTTCATATAAATATACATATATATTGTTTTTTAAAATTAAAAATTATTAAATATCAAAAATAAAAAAATTAGTAAATATAAAAAATGATTAATTTATTCATTTTTTTAAATTTTCATGTTATGTTAAATATAAATATTCAATAGAATTGAAGTGAGTAATAATATAAAAAACCATAAAATTAAAAAATATTTTTTATTTTAAATTTTCATGTTAGGTTGAATGTAGATATTCAACATAAAACAAAGCAAATATCGGCCTTATTTTGAGTAAGGTCAAATTTTACATTGATATTTTATAAATGTGAATGAAGGATATCAATGTAATCAATTTGAAAGATACCTTGTTAACTTATATTTACAAGTTAAATAATAAAAATAAAAAATTTAATTAATATTTAACTCAATGAATCTAATATATATGTTTAGAGGTGAGCAAAGCCAAACCAAATCAATAATTCACTCAAATCAAATGCGATTTGGGTAAAACGATTCAGTCAAATTAGTTTATTAGATCAATTGATTCAAAAGGTTTGATCCAATTGACTTTTTGGTCAATTCTTAATTTTAAAATTCTTCAACCAATCGACTCAAAAAATCAAATAAATATATTATAATATATTTTTATATTTATTAATATATATATAATATTTTTATATATATTAAGAAGAATTGATAGTAAACTTATTTAATAATATACTTAAAATATATTAATTTATTATATGTATGTATACAAATCATAATCAAAGCAATTTAATTTTAATTTTATTTATTTATTTACTTATTTATTTATTTATAAATCTGTATTAATAAGAAATTACAAGTAATATATTTTAAATGATATAACTTATATGTTAATATTATAATATATGATAGTAAATATCTTACATATTAATATGCTATAATTATTACACTTTAGTAATGTTTCATAATATAAAATATTATGAATATATATATAATTATATAAACATTATATATATTTAATTTATACATAAACATTATTATAACTTATAATAAATTTGATTTGTATGATTACACTTAATAACTTTATTCATTATCACTTTAGTTTTTATAACATAATATTTATAATTAGTTATTATTTATACAAACTTTGATATAAAATATTATAACATATAAGTTTGTTATCAATTTCATATATATATAATAAAGCAATATATTAGATATATATATATACATATATTTCTTTTATATATAAGTATTACTATAATTTATTATAGACTTTATTTATATGATTACACTTAATAAATTTTTTAATTATCACTTTAATTTTTATAACATATTATTTATAATTAGTTATTATTATGTAAACTTTAATATAAAAATTAAAATATTATAATATATAATTTATGTCATTGATTATATATATATAATAAAATAATATATTTTATATATCTATATTTGATTTATACATAATTTATATATATTTTAATTATAAGTGAAATTTATAAGTTTTAAAATTATAATTTATAAAAAAAAGTGATAAAATTTTAATCTATTGGTCTAAAACCAAACCAACTAAATCAATTTTATATTTGATCATCATCGTTTATATTTAATCAATTTTTTTAAAATATTTATTTATTTAATCTTAAAAAATATGAATAAAACCATCCAATTCATTCGTTTGCTCATCCTTATATATTATAACCAAAAAAATTTTAGGAAAAAAAGTAGTATCAAATTTCCCTGTTAGGTGTAAATAGTCTGAAGCCGCCTCGCCAGGCAAAGTTGGCTTGCGACTTCTTGGGGTCAAAAAGTGTCAACAAAAACGCAAAAATGGTCTCCATGGCTCATTCTTGTACATGATGAGACCTAGAAAATGATGGAAAGGGATTGGGAGGGTCCCATGGCCCAGCAGATATCTGTATTAGCAACTTGTATTATCACATTCCCGTTGGATAATTATGATAGCAAGACAGGCAGGCACCCACATTTTAAATGATACAACACCCATACAATTTAGCTGGTGATCAAACTTATTTGCTATATCAGCAATCCGCAAATGGACGTTTTGGAGGAATGTACAGATCTGAGGGAAACATATTTAGATTGGTTTTAATGTTCCAGGGGAGAAAAACTACTAACAGCAGGACAATGCTTATGACTCCTGAGCAGGAGCCAGAGAAAAAGAGAAGCTCTGGTCGTGACTTTTCTAGCCCTTGAGTAGATTCTCCAAGGAATCACGGACGTCAGAGCTGGTGCAGTCTTGAGATGTCTGAACAATGTTGGGGCTGTCAACAGGCATGACATCAGAGAGCGGATAATTTCTGTTGGCATGCAATTGATTGCTTGCACTGCTGCAAATTCCCTTCAATATTACACTTTTATGCGTCCCACCAAGCAACCCTTCATAATCTGTATCCCCAGAGTCTCCAACGAAAACCACCATCTTTGACAGTTCAACACCCCACCGAACGTACAAATACCTGACGTGTTTTGGGGTCATTAAATTCAAATATTATTCAACAGATCAAAATGTTTAAAAGCTAGAATGTCACCGATCAAAGAAAACAACTGTTTTGAGTACTGATAAAGATAATTGAAACTATGTTCTAACGAGAGGGCTCTTGGATTTGGCTAATAACAGCTTCCTTCCTTGCTGGATGATTATTCAGTACCAAAAGTCATCCAAAAATCTAAAAGTATAGGAGAAATGCAAGAAGTTCAGGCCTCTGTAACTAAAACATTCAAAAAAATGCTGCTTCTTGACTCAACAGATCATATTCATCAGGTCAATCATCCAATTCAAACAAAATGTTCAAAACCCAATAAATTTCCCTTTGGTTTTGCAAATTTGGATACCATGCAGACTGTTTCTCACATAAAAACGAAAAAGAAAAGGAAAGGAAAAAATTGCATTTCTTTATTGACTGCTACTACACTAGAAAAATTTGATGCACCCAAGCCAATTCCTTTAATTACAAATTAATAGAAAGCATGAGAACTTACGAGACAATAATATTTTTCTTCAGCCATAAATGAGGGAAGGCACCTAATCAACTTTAAGTTATGAAGATTGGATAGACAGAGTTTCATGACGAAAAAAAAGGATAACCATGGAAATCAAGGCAACATTCAAGAGAAAAAACATTATAGCATTAATAAAGGGAACATAAAAAACTCCACCTGAGGGCTTGGGAACGAGATGCCAACACTGGAATTACATTTATCCTGGTTCCATTTTGACAATAAATAGCATTACAACGGAGAGCTTGAATTCTCAGCGACTTCCGAAGCTCCTTAACAGGGGTTACCTGGGAAGAGCATAAACATAAATACGTGTTTCCCATGGTATTGTTAAAAAAATATCATAAACATATGCGAATATATAATCACATGCTAGACATGTTAGAAATGTAAACTCAAATTCATCCTTATTTGGTGAGAAAATATCAAGCTGTTTCATGAGAAAGTAATTTACCAGTAGTTAGTAGTACAATAAAAAGAAAATTTACCATTGCTGCATTTTTTGCTCTAAAAGCATAACAGTAATTGGTTGAAAGCTGTTCAGCAGCAGTAACAATCTGCTCCTCATTCCCTGCCTTCTTATCAGTAATCGATCCTGCCCAACGGACCAAAGTCTTTCTCAATCCTTCCCCACCCCAACGATACTCAATGTGCGAGTGGTAATAAAAGTCAATTACAAAGGGACCATCTTCAGGATTAATATTTGAATAGTAGAGGTCACTGCCACTATTGCAGATGAAAGCATCAAAATCATTAGGGTTAAAGCCTCCAGATGTCAGAAAAGAGTGTATCTCAGATATTGTCATGAATGTTGACAATATAAAACCTATAGAGCCTTCAGTTCTTTCTTTTCCCACAGCTTCAAAAATCTTTCTAATGGCATCAAGAAGATCTTCATCGGAATCACAGTCCACAGCAATGACAAAGATATGTTTCCTCCTCCTCAATGCTGGGAACTTTCCTGAGCTGGAACTATGGTCTGTTCTGTCTGCAGATCCAGCCTTCCTTTGATCTTTTAAAACACCCCTTGACCATGATAAAACAGCATTCTCTAACTTACTCTTTCTGTCAGCGGCACTTCCTTCTGTGTCTAAAGAATTATCTTTTCCACTAGCTCCACTCCTATCCCCATCCAAAGAAAACCTCAGGTTCAAAGAAATATCCTGTATATCTCTCAAGGAATCACTTGGTGAATCTGATTCTGAAGTTTCACCTCCATCATCACTCCTTTGCCACTGTGGATGCCTCGGTTTACAAGTAGCAATTCGAGATAAGTAAGTTTTACAGTGCTCTGGCCATGAAAATAGGTGAATGTTCTTCAAACCATTTTGGCGGCATCTAGCCCAGAGCTGCTTGTCTGCAACAAGCTTTAGAAGGGCATCAGCAATAGATTGCTGATCATGAGGATCGATAAGAAGACCATTGTCAAGCACCTGCATTAACATCTCATATTAAATATCAAAACCGTGATTTAAACTAAGCAGTCTAATTTATGCTTGTCTTTCTCTAATGTCTAATAAACACATTCTAACTGATGAGTCATACCCGAAGTATATCAACAGGACCTCCATTTTTGGTGGCAACCAGAGGCAAACCATGAGCTGCTGCCTGGAACAAAAGAACCATGGTCATATATGGTTCTAAACTAAGATGAAATTAATGAACTATTTATAACTATTTTATAGAGCACCTCGATTAAAGTAAGGCCAAATGGTTCAATAAAAGCTGGATTAATGAAAACACCCTGCACAAGAAAATTGGATCAGAAACAGAAATATTTAGATATTCTTAAGAAAGAGAGAGAGAGTTATGTGAGATTACAACAATTTTGGAAGATAATGTGGGTGAGAAATAACAATCAAAGACTCAACAAGAACTATTAGAAACTCAAAGCAGAGTCTCAATAATAGCATAACAAAACTACGCTGAGTTATATCCCTCCTCAACATAAGGGAAAAAAATAGAAGTTCCATATTCTAAAAATCAAGCTGCATACTAATACATACATATGTATGTATGTATGTATGTATGTATGTGAGTGTGTGTGTGTAATACTAATTGAACATAGACAACAACTGCAATAACATATTCTTTCACAAATAAGATTTAGGGTACAAGTAGAATGCAGTCAATGCAGCACCCTTGGCACTTGGCAAGAGCTTTGAAACAAGGAAGAGACCAAAGAGAAAAAGTAAGCTCAAAGCATGTGCAGTTGCGCACTGTAATGGAAGTAGACCAAAACATCAAACTGTAAAACATACACTACAAAAATCACCTTTGTCTTCGCTGCTAGACGATAAATGTCAGGAACCTCAAACTGTTTATGGTGTTTAGGATATGCCACTTGTCCATAAAGGTCATATTTGTCAATAAGCTTAAGTACTGAGAGAAGAACAGAAGAATTTGTGCTTGACATTTCATCAATTCCATCTCTGTTCCCCATGATTAATGTCTGTTAAGTACCAGAGAAAGAAAAGTATAGAATTAAATGAAAGATCCAGTAGAATCATTTCAGCATTTCAGCACAAGCAAGAAAAGCTTATAACAAAAGAACTGTCAGTAGGAATGAAAAAAGCTGTCTTCATCAACCAAGTCTCATCAGATTATTCAAACATACAAGGTTTGCAAGCTCTCTTAGAGGACGACATTCTCCAAAGGCTTTGACCAAAGTCGTGATGTTCTTTTTGGGATCTGGCCTAGCAAGGGCAAGTATCATAGGCTTGCGAGGATTGGTGAAGAAGCGCATTATCTACAAATACCAATTTCAAAACTAGTATCAAAATTAATGGCAGCAAGAGACATGGTAGCATATCTTGGCTGGGCACATAAATGTGAAGCACAATGTGGAAATGCATAAGGAATAATTAGAACCTCGGACCAGATGGGCGGATCTGGGGAAGATGGATGTTCTTCATGTCCTTCTGTTTCACCATCCATATCACCGTCTTGTGGAACAATATGATGGAACTCCATTCCAGGAGGAATTATCTGCACAAAAAAACAGATTCACAAAGAACATTCTATGACCTAGCAAGAGATTATTCTGAGTGATGCAAGAATCAAACACCATGCCTCACCCAGCCAAGCTCATGAAATATAACACACTAGACATGCAATACTATCCATAAGCCAAGCTCCAAAGCTGGGTAGGTGCACCTGGGTTTCGACAGCACTCTTTGACACCAATGAAAGCACCATGCAAAGTACATAATGTTCCAGAACTTACAACCATGCGAGGCATGAACCTTCCATAGCAGCTGACATTACGCCTGATCCTTGCACGCAGTTTACGCTCCAGGACTGGATCAAAACCATCATATAAACGCCACTGCTCATCTATCTCCTGTCTAGTACTGGTTATGACTATTTCAGAGGCATCAAGAGATAATTCTTCAGCCTCTATTCGGCGCATAATTTTGTATGTTGTATTTATTTCATCTCTTGATAAGCGGCCCTGCTTTAAGAGTTGTTCTAACTTGTCTCGGCCAAGTGAGTGGCCAGTAAAAAGCATCGGTACATTTAATGCACCAGATAGAAGAGCAGCAGAGTCACCTGCATCTGCATAATGACCATGGATGGCTACAGGCCAAACTGGTTTCCCACTACCAATTTGCTCACCCAGAACATTGGACATCTGTATTATGTGGTTAAGTGCACCGTCAACAAATTCGGGGATGTGAGGCCACAAAAGTTCTTTGGGAATATATTTATCCCTAGGGCCAAATGGTATTCGGACAATATAAGCACCACTGCTCTCTCCCATCTCATCCAGGAAATTTTCTGAATTTCTTGGTGTAAGCATTTCTGTGGGTTCACCATAGCTCCAATCTACATCTGGTGATGCTACCTGCCTAGTCAGCAAATCAACCCGATAAACTCCTGGCATTGAGCCCAAAGCCCTAGCAAGTTCCACAACATACTTAACCTATACACAACAAAAGTTCAAGATTTTGTCAGTTATCAGCATATGCCATAGAACAAGTTTTCTATGACCAGAAATAAAGAGAGAGATTCCACAACCAAATTACCTGACCACCAGTATCAGAATCCCGACCAAGCTCCATATTTTCACCTCGAATTAGACCATGAATGCTGC